TGATTTTATGTAGTCATATATGTATAATTTATACTTTTACCCTAAAATAATTTACTGCAGCATACTGTATGCAAAGGGACAGTTCTTTGTTTCAGTGGGATTCTAAATAACAAATGTAGAAGAAGGGAAATTGAAAAATCATCAAGCATCATAGTCATTACTGCTGCAAAAGACATCCAGAGTAGATAGCAAAGTTAATGGGCAAATATTCAGAGAGAAACAGGACTTGTATTATTTCCAAATAATCTCTCCTAAGGTATTTTTAATCACAAAAAGAAAGATAGCAGCTTTACAGTGGCAGAGTCTTTACTTCAACTAAGTAAAGCAGGACAGCCTCACCAATAACAAGATATGCCAGCACTGAGAACCCTATGGCTTGATCCATCAAGGACACAACATTTTTTTATGGTATTCCCCCCAAGAAGACATCTCTGATCATCAGACAGACCCAAATTCAGAGACATTCAGCAAAATAACCACTCAATATTTGAAAACACCAATGTTATGAAAAATAACTAAAGCTCTCTTACAGATGAAAGGAGACTAAAGAGAAATAACAAAACACTGCGTGGGGTTTGGATGGGTCTTGAGCAGGAAAGGACCTAATGGACACAATAAAATTTGAGTAATATCTTTAGATAAGATTGCTAAGTGTTGTTTAGATGTTTTAGGTAAAATTGTTTTATGTTAATTTACTGGCTTTTATAATTATGACTATATAAAATACTAATAAAGGAGGCTGGGTGAGGAATAAATGGAAGCTCTGTGTACTACTTTTGCAACATTTCTGTAAGTCTAACATGAGATCAAGTTAAAAAATAAAAGTCTCGTTGCTTTAAAGAGAAATGAAGGGAAAAAAGAAAGGACGAAAAGAAGGTAAGGCTCTAAACTGGAAAATCACTGAAACTACCCAAGCCTGGGAGCTGTTTTTAGCCTCTAGTCCCAGAGTAAAGATTAAAATCAGAGTTAAGTGGTAAGAATAAAAATAAAGTAGTTATTTACAATGAGTCTTCAGAGTTTTAGAAATACTAAAGTAGCTTGTGTGGTGGCGGCTCACATTTTATTTTATGTGATGGGTGTCTGGCCTGCATGTTTGTGCAATACATGGTCTGCTGTTGTGTAAGGAGACCAGAGGAGCCTAGGAGCCAGTGCTATAGACGGCTCTGAGTAGCAGTATACATACTGGGACTTGAACTCAGGTTCTTGGGAAGAGCAGCCAGTGCTCTTAGCCACTAAACATCTCTCGTACCCCAGTGACTTTAATCTCAGCATTCAGGAGACTGATAAAGGAGGATCATCACCATGAGGCCAGCCCCATCTGCATAGTGATTTCCAGGTTTGCTTGTTTGTTTTCTTAGCTGACTTAATAGTTGAAGGATTATGCTAATAAGTAAATCTGGAGTATTGAGTGGCAGGTGGGCTTAAGAGTACAAGAGCTGACCCAAAAGAAGAGCTAATATCACTCTAGAATTCAAAAGATACAAATGTCAGTTGTTATGTAAGCTAGATTTTTCTGTCCAAATGAATTCCAGATATTCAAATCTGTCTTTTCTTGATAAGAGATTAGCTTAATTCTTTCATCAGTGTTCATTTGAAATAGAAAATGTTCTATGGTGTGTGAGAACCTGATACTTTTAACACAAGCCTGGAAGATTTACTGCCACTCAATTCTTTGATAAAGGTTATGATACATTTTATTATTTATTGGATATAGCATTAAATCAAAGTTGTTTCTCTCTCTCTCTCTCTCTCTCTCTCTCACACACACACACACACACACACACACAGAGGCAGTACTAAAGATGGGAACCAGGGTACTGTGCACTCTTGGTAAGCATTCTGCCACTGAGATAATCTCTAACCCAATCAAAATATTTTTAATACTGTATTAAATTTATTATGCGTGTGCTCAAGTGTCTAAGTCAGAAGATAATACATGAGAGCTGTGAGTCCCAGGCATTGAACTCAGGTCCTCAGGCTTGGCAGCAGTCACCTTTACTACAACAGCATTTTACCAGTCCCCAATCAAAATACTATACTGACCTCCACCCTTAAGTATATGTGGCCTTCTAGCCTCTTCTTTTGTTCTTCCCTTGAAGGAAGAACATAACATTTACTTACTGTCTTCCTTCAAAGAAATAATGTAATTCTAGTTGCTTCAAATATATTTTGTTTAGAATTACTCCAATAAAAATTTTAAATAGTTAGCCTAAATAAAACTTAGGGTGGGAAAATCAATTATGTAAGAAAGACATAGCTAAAAATGAGATTAAAACAAGTGATTTTGAGAAATAAGAATCCACGCAGGGAAAAAATAAAAAAATAAAAAAAATAAAAAAAATAAAAAAAAAAAAAAAAAAAAAAAAAAAAAAAAAAAAAAAAAAAAAAAAGAAAAGAAAGAATCCACGCAGGGAAAGGGTTGTGTCAGTTGGTTTATTAAGGCAGATGGATTCTGAGCCATTTCCCAGAAGCTGTAACCATAGTGAGTATAATAACTTCCTCAAAGCTGTAGAGTGCTGTATAAATGCACCTTTTTACTTATAAAATGAGAGACTGGGGAAAAAGTACATACATTTAGGCTTGCTTCCTGTTTTTACATATAGGAAATATTTAGGTGGTGTCAAAAGAGAATTTGGGGGCTGGAGAGATGATTCAGTGCTTAAGAGCACTTCTGTTTTTCCAGAGAACCTAGGTTCAATTCTTACCACCCACATGGCAGCTAACAATTGTCTATAACTCCAGTTCCAGGTGATATGATGCCCTCTTCTGGCCCCCACAGTCATCAGGCATTTTGATACAGGGTCTCACTGAAACTGTAGCTCATGATGAGCTATGCTGAGTGGCAGAGGTCTGCCTGTCTACACCTTTCCAGCTCTGAGGTTACTGACACACAGCTTTTTAGACATGGGTGCTGTCATTCTATCTGACTGAGATAGCTCAGTGCCTAACATAGTTTTCATGGAATTTATATGCTTATACATACCACATAACCACTTTGAAATGTTCAGTTAACAACCTATTTTTGAATCACCTTACAAATCTGAAGATGTTAAGTGGATTTTCTACCTGAATTCTTCAAAGAAATCAAGACTTTTTATCTTGGAATGCCAAATACTAAAATTAAAAGAGAGGCAGCTTTAGAATATATAACTTTAACACTGACTTTTGTTAAATGAAACCTCATTAATCCAAGTACACATCTGAAGGCTTCAGTATAGTTTAGTGGCAGAGTGCTTGGCATTAAGTGCAAATGCCAGGGCTCAATTCCCAGTACTGGAAAAAAAATCTCCAAGCACACATTGGATTTTTAACAAAATCAGTAAAAGAGCCCTTCTTCTAGGTTTTATAATCTTTATCTGTAAAATAATACCCTACTACATTACATAAACACAAGCATACAAGGCTTGCTGGGCTGTACATTGCCTCCACATCTGGAATCAATTGAAGCAATTACGGTGAGATACATGTTGATTTAAAGATCTGTGTCCATGAAGGCAATGACTAGTGGCTCACTGTTGACTGAGAGAACGAGGTTTCCCTTTAGCCTTCTAACACTGTCCTTAGTAATCACTTAAAAGAGTGGAGCTCTAAATATAACCTCTGGTTTCTAGTCCTCCTATGGAGTTTGGACTTCTTTGTTTCATTCACAAGCAGTTCCTCTGCTTAGCTTTAAATATACAATAATATCCAGTATTATTTGATTTCCTTTGTATTTAATGAGAAAGATTTTTAACTATTTAAAAGAGTTGACATTTACAGAATGTTTTAAAGAGATGACCACACTTATAGTCTAGGAGGTTTTTTTCAGATAGTATTCCTCTGTGGTAAACTTGTCTAAGGTAACTGGAGAACAGCATTCCCAGTACATTCATGAGTGCTTTTAGGATGTCCGAGTTACCTATAGGTACAAAGCTAGTAGCTAAAATGAGCATACAGCACGGTGATGGTGGTGCTGCTTAAGACAAGTGTGGAAGTGGTGGTGACCATGAGGAGGAGGAGAAGGGTGAAATCAGCTGATGCCATTACCCTCTTACTAAGTTCTGAGCACCTCATCACATTCTTTCCATAAATCAAGCTGAATCTCTCCTACTGATGCCATGTTTTCTACAGTATGCCATCACTTTTCTTAGCAGCGATAAGCCAGAAGAGTGCTCTATAGTAAAGTCACCCTGGGCTAGGCATGATTGTATATTCTAGTGGTGGAGGCAGGAGGATCAGGAGTTCTAGGCCAGCCTGGGCTACGTAGTGCAACCCTCCTATCAAAAAGAAAAAACCCCTTTTTTCCACTTGGACTTAATGCAAAAAGAACAACCATAACAGAAGATATGGAGTAAATTTTGTACAACTCTAACAAACAGCTTAAAACAGACAGACAGACAGCCCAAAACCTAAATGTTATCAAGACTCTTAAACTCTTAGAATTTAAGACCCACATTTAGCAAAAATCTCACCTCTTTCCTTCTTGCTTTTATCTAATTTTGGTACTTTTCCTCTGTCTGGATTTTTCAAAAAATACTTATTATTTACTGATAATTTTTAAGTCTAAATTATTTTATAGGCTCATCTTTTTAAAAAACAAGACTGTACCAAAAAGTGATGTGAGCATGTGTATCTCTTGAGAGCAATATGGTTTTCCTCACTGTTTTATTTCTAATGCTTTGTTACAAGAGTAAACTTTTCCATACTACTGTGTTGAATAAATGTTAACATTATTAATGTATGTCTTCCTTCTCAGTCTTGCATCCTGTCTCTTATTATCCAGAAGGACTGTCTCATTTTTATTTATAAACTTTAATTTTAGGTTGCTGGAATATATACATATATTATGCTTAATTTTTGACTGTGCATAAATTATACAGTTGCATTAGTGGCTTTTATTTTTATTTGGGGGAAGAAAAAAAAAAAAACGAGAAAATGGAGAAACCAAAGATAGTGTTAGGGTATGGTCATATGTAACCAGAGCTGCTAAGAAGCCTGTTTGCAATCTCATCTTTCCATAGGTGGTTGCCTATCACTATTGCCAAGCAGATAATGCCTACACCTGCCTGGTACCAGAGTTTGTCCACAATGTTGCTGCCCTGCTCTGCCGCTCACCTCAGCTGACAGCTTACCGGGAGCAGCTTCTTCGGGAGCCCCACCTGCAGAGCATGCTAAGCCTCCGGTCCTGTGTTCAAGACCCTATGGCCTCCTTCCGGAGGGGAGTCCTGGAGCCCTTGGAGAACCTCCACAAAGGTATAAATAAGGTCCAAAGGGGTAGTCACTTGGGGTGTGGTATAGAGATGATTATGTTTATTACATTGCCAAGACTAAATGTTCTATAGCTGATGTCTGTAGATTGCAGTTTACAGAAAACTGTGATAGTGCACAGATGTAGTCCCAGCACTTGGAAGAGGCTAGGGCAGGTGCACTGTTTGAATCCAGGAAGTGAAAACAAACCTAGGCAATGTAACAGGACCCTATTTCAAAATAACAGATCCCTGTAGAAACTGATCCTTCCTTCTTTGTTTGTAAAAAGTTCTTATTTTGATTTCCAAATGATTTCAGTTTTCTTATAATAAAGGTAGTAGAGCTTCTCATCCTTTCTGTGGAATTAGAAATAATAAAGTTCCGGCTCCATCTCACTGCTTCAGAGTTTCTATGGCTAGAAACTCTACAGTTAGAAAATATCTGCAGTATATTTATTATGCCACCCATGGCTGCATACCTTAGTATTTACACTAGAAATCACTTAACTGTTCATTTGGAAGGTATGTAAAAAAGCACATGGACATTTTGTGGTACATAGATTATCAGAAAAACTAGTGGTTCTTAATGAAAATTAAATTAGTGGGCTCTGTCTCTGTCTCATGCTCATGCCTTTCCTTTTTCTTTACAGTCCTGGTATTCACTGAAGCCTAAGCACAGTCATCTCCTTAAACCTCTCTCCACTACACATTTTTTTACCTTTTTAAATTTTTATTTTTAGTGTGGGGAGGCAGGTTGGTGTGGGGGATTGCATACATGGTATACTTATACTTGAATGTACACATCCACATGTATAGAATCCAGAGGAAGAGGCTGGTGTCTTCCTCTATAGCTCTCTTCCTTAATTCTCTTAACACAGGGTCTCTCAATGACTAACCTTTGAGCTCCTAAATCTTCCTGTCTCTACCTCACCATCACTTGGGTTACAGGCATATGCAGAGATACCCAGCTTTTTACATGTGTGCTTGAGATTCCAGCACTTACATAGTACTCTTACCCACCGAGCCATCCCTCCACCCTCCCCTATACCATTAGTAGTCAGAGTAGCAGTAGTTGTAGTATTACATTTTACTTATTTATTTTGTGTGGGAATATTCATACCACAGCTTGTATGTGGTGATCAGAAGATAGCTTGTGGGAATCAGTTCTGTCATCCTACTGTGTGGGTCCCAGGAATCAAACTCTGGTCATCATGTGTGGAAACAGGTCCCTTTACCTACTAAGCCACCTTACCTGTTTCTCTGCTTGTAACAATGTTTTTATCAGCACTGGAAGCCAAACAGAATAATAATGATTAAGTATCTCAGTTGTGCTACTCAATACATTAGTATAGATATATAAAATCTTAATTATTTGATATGAACATTTAATGAGCATTTAGAGTATGCCAGATAAACTTTGTGCTGTACAAGTATTAGTTGTTTTTGCTCAAGTTGTTAGCTGTTTCTCTTTGACTAAATTGTGTGCAATTACATTTCAAACCTTGTGTTTATCTTTTCTCATTCATACCTACCTTTTCACCTTGAACATGGTAGATATTTCAGGATACATTTTGAATAGAGGCATAAAAGGGGAACTGTTCATATGCATGTTTTTGGTTTGGTTTGGTTTGGTTCGGTTTGGTTTGGTTTGGTTTGGTTCGGTTTTTTGAGACAGGGTCTCTTTTTGTAGCTCTGGCTGTCCTGGAGTTCACAGTGTAGACCAGGCTGCCCTCAAACTCACAGAGATCCACCTGCCTCTGGCTCCAGAGTGCTAGATTAAAGGCATGTGCCACCAAGCCCAGTGATACATGGGTATTTTAAAAGGGCAGTGATACAAAGAGCTATGCCCTATAAGTGTTCAAAAAGAATATACAGATGCTTGCTGAGTCTGCACCAAATTCTCAACCATACTAACATGGTTCATTATTTTACTGTAAGGTAGATCTATTCATTTATCTCTCTATCCCTTTAGATATCCCTATTAACAGAATTCTGAGTAAGTTAAATTGCTTCATCTTGTTCTGGGGGTTTCTACTCACTCTTAAAGTTATAAGCAGCAGTTGGAAAAACAATTTACAGACGTTAAAAATTGTTTAATCAACCCAAAAGAAAAAATAGAAAAGATTAGATAAATTATATTAAGGAATTAGTTGTAAGATATAAATGGAGTAAGTAAATGAAATGCAGAAACAGACTGAATGAAGAACAAAATCTGATTTATACGCTGCTGTCTTCATAGAGTTACTCAAATATCACACAACTGAAAATGAAAGAATAGAAAACTAAATAGCAGGTTAAACATAAACCATAAGAAATCTAGAATAGAAAAAAAGAAATCTAGAATAATTTGTTTATGTCAGAATAGACTTTTAAACAGGCAATATTAGGAAAGGCAATTAGTACACATGAAAGCCAATTTCATCAGGAGATAATCAAAAATCCTAGAATTAGGGTTTCAGAATCATGAATCAAAAACTGATCAAAAAGCTTAATAAGCAAAGTCCAGTTAGAGATAGGTATTTAAATGCTTCTCAGTAACTATTGGAACAAGTAGAGAAAAAAATTAAAGATACAGACTTGAATAATATCATCAGCCAACTTGCTCTGGTTGGTACTTATAAGAACGTTACCTAATAAATACAAGATACATATTTTCTTCAAGAAAACTAAGCTATATTCTGAACTATAGAACAAGTCTCAAAATTTCTAAGTTATTTGAGAAACTCCCAGCACTTAGGATGCTGAGGTGAGAGAGCTGTGAGTTCAAGACTAAGTTAGACTATACATAATGAGGTCCTGCCTCTAAAACAACAAAAATTAAAGTTAAAATATCAGTCTATGGAGCTAGCTTAGTCTGTAATATGCAAGGATCCAAGTTTGGTACTCAGTGTATTTATGAAAAAACAAACAAGAAAAAAGAAATACAGGCACACACTTGTAATTCCACTGTTGGGGAGAAGGAAGCAAGTGGGTCTCCAGGGCTCACTAGACAGTATCCTGGTCTATGTGGCAAGTCCCTGGCCAGTAAGAGAGCCTGTTTCTCAAAAAAAAAAAAAAGCAACAGCACCCAAGGAACAACACCGAGTTGTCCACTGCACATTGTGGGTATGCACACCCCAAGAAGGTAAATATTGCAGCAGTGTTGTCTAAAGCAATGTAATTAAATTAGAAATCAGTAACAATATAATCTTAAATATGTATAAGTTAACCTACTTCTAAATAACCTATATGTCAAAGATCAGGTCATACAGAGAATGTTTAATATGTCAAAATGAATAATATAAAATAACTTGTGTGAGTTTCCTTCTTAAACTAGAAAAATACAAGAAAAATTAAGTTAATTAATATAAATAAGGAAGTGATCTTCAAACAGAAATGATTGAAGTAGAAAGTTGATGTGAAATTGGAAAATCAAGTCTCAACAAGACTGTTCAAAAAATGAGAGAGAAACATTAACTAACAGTATCATAAATCAAGAGGTGGTACCACTACAGTTCATTAAAATATTTTTTAAAATAAGTCATTATAAATAACTTTATGACAATAAAATTCAACAAATTGACTAAAGTAGACATTCTGAAACATATACATAACATGCCAATATATTTTAAGAAAAAATAGAAAAGAACATTTTATTTTATCAGGCAAGCATAACACTGATAGACATCAAAATGTCAAACTTAAGGACCTTTTAAAACTGAAAAAAAAAAAGGAAGAAGAAATAGATTATAGACCATTATTCCTTTATTCCTCATAGCCATCATAACAAAGTCTTAGAAGAAGAAAAAAGCTAATAGTGCAGTTAGTTTCTACTTGGTCAGGATTACAATGTTTCCTTAACATTTGGAAGTTAATCTGTATAATTTATCATATTAACAAAAAATCATCAATATAGTTATCCTAATAAGTATATAAACCAAGATGTCCATCAACGTAGTGAATAAATGGATTGTAAACTTGTTCAATGGACTCCTTCTTAGTAGTAAAAAGAAACAAATACTACGTTCAACAGTGTTAGTCTCAGAGACTTTATATTAAGCAGAAGAAACAAATGTATGTAGCCTGTGGTGATAGAAGTTAAAATACTGGCTGCCCTTTGAGCACTGACAGGAAGGAAACCTAAAGGAATTTTCTTGAATGACAGAAATGTTTTTCACTTTGATCAGGTTTTTAGTTGCATGATTCTATATAGTTACCAACACTTGTTAAAGTATATAACTGAAATGGCCTTCATTTATCATATATACATATTATCCTCAGGTAGCTAGAGTTTTGCTCCCAGGAAAGTTTTATGGAAAATACTTTTCAATTCATAGGAGTTAGATTGCTAATAATGCACTTCTCCTTTTAAAAAATAGACCTATACATTGGGAAAAAAAATCCGTTGATATCTTATAAACCCACATCCCTAGGTAACTTTTAAGTAACTCTTCCCAAGAAAGGAAGGAAAATCTCAAGAAAGAAAACCTCACAGGGTTTTAAAAAGACTATCGTTGTCCTGATTAAGGGACAATTGTTTTCTTTCTTACAGTGCTAGAGACCAAATCCAGGACTATATGGTAGACAGATCTACCACCCAGCTCATATTAGTCCCCACTTTAGAGACAAGAAATATTTATGTTTTACTCATGGAGTGAGTATTGTGTTCTATTGGAAATTTCTGCAAATGAAACTTAGCTTTATTAGGAAATTGTTTCATTCATTACAATATCCAGAGCCAAGGAGATGGCTCCTCAGTGAGCAAAAGCACTTTCCTCCAAGCCCACCAACCTGAGTTCAACCTCTGGGGATCCACATGGTAGGATAAAACTGACTACATATATACACCACAAGTGTAAGACCACCCCACCTGAGTATCTATCCCATGTGCAATCACCAAAGGTAGATGCTGATGTGGAAGACAGGAAGTGCATGCTGATAAGAGCCTGATATGGATATCTCCTCAGAGGCCTTCAAGAGTCTGACATATTCAGAGGCAGATGCTCACAACTAGCCATTGAACTGATC